ATCCTAATTTTCTCAGTTTTAATCTTTTCCAACCATTAAAATAAGTCATGTTTGGCAATATGGCTGTAGATTTGGACAGAATCACACCACTGAAGTTATTTGAATTCAAAGATTTTTTTCATTATTCATTTTTTTTGCTAGTCTTTTCTTCATTTATTCTTGCTTTTTTATCCCAACTTTCTCAGTTGAATCCTTTCCAAACATTAAAATAAGTTGAATCATGTGAAATCAGAGAGGTGGCAATATGGCTGTAGATTTGGACAGAATCACACCACTGAAGTTATTTGAATTCAAAGATGAAGTCTTTTCATTATTCATTTTTGGCTAGTCTTTTCTTCATCTTATTCTTGCTTTTTTATCCCAACTTTCTTTTGGTTGAATCCTTTTCCAACCATTAAAATAAATCATGTGAAATCAGAGGGTGGCAATATGGCTGTAGATTTGGACAGAGTCATTACTGAAGTTATTTGAATTCAAAGATGATGTCTTTTCATTATTCATTTTTGAAACTTCATCTTATTCTTGCTTTTATCCCAACTTTCTCGGTTGAATCTTTTCCAACCATTAAAATAAGTCAAAGTGAAATCAGAGAGGTGGCAATATGGCTGTAGATTTGGACAGAATCACACCACTGAAGTTATTTTTGAATTCAAAGATGATGTCTTTCATTATTCATTTTTGGCTAGTCTTTTTCTTCATCTTATTCTTGCTTTTATCCCAACTTTCTCGGTTGAATCCTTTCCAACCATTAAAATAAGTCATGTGAAATCAGAGAGGGTGGCAATATGGCTGTAGATTTGGACAGAATCACACCACTGAAGTTATTTGAATTCAATTCATTTGAAGTCTTTTCATTATTCATTTTTGTCTTTTTCTTCTATCTTATTTCTTGTTTTATCCCAACTAACCATTAAAATAAGCTTTTCTTCATCTTGGACAGAATCACACCACTGAAGGGTTTTTCAAAGATCCCAACTTTTCTCATCCTATGAATCCCAACTTTCAGTTAACCATTAAAATAAAAAATGTGTGAAATCAGAGAGGTGACAATATGGCTGTAGATTTGGACAGAATCACACCACTGAAGTTATTTGAATTCAAAGATGAAGTCTTTTCATTATTCATTTTTGCCCTAGTCTTTTCTTCATCTTATTCTTTGCTTTTTATCCAACTTTCTCGGTTGAATCCTTTCCAACCATTAAAATAAGTCATGAAATCAGAGGGTGGCAATATGGCTGTAGATTTGGACAGAGTCACACCACTGAAGTTATTTGAATTCAAAGATGAAGTCTTTTCATTATTCATTTTTGGCTAGTCTTTTTCTTCATCTTATTCTTGCTTTTTATCCCAATTTCTCAGTTGAATCCTTTCCAACCATTAAAATAAAGTCATGTGAAATCAGAGAGGTGGCAATATGGCTGTAGATTTGGACAGAATCACACCACTGAAGTTATTTGAATTCAAAGATGATGTCTTTCATTATTCATTTTTTTAGCTAGTCTTTTCTTCATCTTATTCTTGCTTTTTATCCCAACTTTCTCAGTTGAATCCTTTCCAACCATTAAAATAAGTCATGTGAAATCAGAGAGGTGACAATATGGCTGTACATTTGACAGAATCACACCATTGAAGTTATTTGAATTCAAAGATGAAGTCTTTTCATTATTCATTTTTGGCTAGTCTTTTCTTCATCTTATTCTTGCTTTTTATCCCAACTTTCTCGGTTTGAATCCTTTTCCAACCATTAAAATAAATCATGTGAAATCAGAGAGGTGGCAATATGGCTGTAGATTTGGACAGAATCACACCACTGAAGTTATTTGAATTCAAGATGATTGTCTTTTCATTATTCATTTTTGGCTAGATCTTTTCTTCATCTTATTCTTTTGCTTTTTATCCCAACTTTCTCAGGTTGAATCCTTTCCAACCATTAAAATAAGTCATGTGAAATCAGAGAGGTGACAATATGGCTGTAGATTTGGACAGAATCACACCACTGAAGTTATTTGAATTCAAAGATGATGTCTTTTTATTATTCATTTTGGCTAGTCTTTTCTTCATCTTTATTCTTGCTTTTTATCCCAACTTTCTCAGTTGAATCCTTTCCAACCATTAAAATAAGTCATGTGAAATCAGAGGTGGTGGCAATATGGCTGTAGATTTGGACAGAGTCACACCACTGAAGTTATTTGAATTCAAAGATGAAGTCTTTTCATTATTCATTTTTGCTAGTCTTTTCTTCATCTTATTCTTGCTTTTTATCCCAACTTTCTCGATTGAATCCTTTCCAACCATTAAAATAAGTCATGTGAAATCAGAGAGGTGACAATATGGCTGTAGATTTGGACAGAATCACACCACTGAAGTTATTTGAATTCAAAGATGAAGTCTTTCATTATTCATTTTGGCTAGTCTTTTCTTCATCTTATTCTTGCTTTTATCCCAACTTTCTTGGTTGAATCCTTTTCCAAACCATTAAAATAAGTCATGTGAAATCAGAGAGGTGACAATATGGCTGTAGATTTGGACAGAATCACACCATTGAAGTTATTTGGCAAAAGATGAAGTCTTTTCATTATTCATTTTTGGCCTAGTCTTTTCTTCATCTTATTCTTGCTTTTTATCCCAACTTTCTCACATTGAATCCTTTCCAACCATTAAAATAAGTCATGTGAAATCAGAGGTGGCAATATGGCTGTAGATTTGGACAGAATCACACCACTGAAGTTATTTGAATTCAAAGATGAAGTCTTTTCATTATTCATTTTTGGCTAGTCTTTTCTTCATCTTGCTTTTTATCCAAATTTCTTGGTTGAATCTTTTCCAACCATTAAAATAAGTCATGTTCAGAGGGGGGACAATATGGTCAGATTGGAAGAATCACACCATTGAAGTTATTTTTGAATTCAAAAGATGAAGTCTTTTCATTTTTTGTTGAACCCAACCACAAAATAATCTTATTATTTGAATTCAAAGATTTGCATTTTTATCCCAATTTGAATCCTTTCCAACCATTAAAATAAGTCATGTAAATCAGAGACGTGACAATATGGCTGTAGATTTGGACAGAATCACACCACTGAAGTTATTTGAATTCAAAGATGAAGTCTTTTCATTATTCATTTTGGCTAGTCTTTTCTTCATCTTATTCTTGCTTTTTTTATCCAACCATTAAAATTTCTCCATTTGAATCCTTTCCAACCATTAAAATAAGTCATGTGAAATCAGAGAGGTGACAATATGAAACATGTAGATTTGGACAGATTGCACCAATTGAAGTTATTTGAATTCAAAGATGAAAAAACTTTTCATTATTCATTTTTGGCTAGTCTTTTCTTCATCTTATTCTTGCTTTTTTATCCCAACTTTCTCCAGTTGAATCCTTTCCAACCATTAAAATAAGTCATGTGAAATCCGAGAGGGTGACAATATGGCTGTAGATTTGACAGAGTCAAACCACTGAAGTTATTTGAATTCAGATTTTCAAAGCTTTTCATTATTCATTTTTGCTAGTCTTTTCTTCATCTTATTCAGAGAGAGGTGCTTTTTACAGAATGCCCAAAGTTTCTCGGTTTCAAAGAATGTCCTTTCTAACCATTAAAATAAGTCATGTGTAAATCAGAGAGGTGACAATATGGCTGTAGATTCCGGACAGAGTCACACCACTGAAGTTATTTTAATTCAAAAGATGATGCTTTCATTATTCATTTTGGCTAGTCTTTTCTTCATCTTATTCTTGCCAACTTTCTCAGTTTGAATCCTTTCCAACAATTAAAATAAGTCATGTGAAATCAGAGAGGTGACAATATGGCTGTGGATTTGACAGAGTCACACCACTGAAGTTATTTAATTCAAAAGATGAAATCTTTTTCATTATTCATTTTTGCCAGTCTTTTCTTCATCTTATTCTTTGCTTTTTATCCAACTTTCTCGGTTGAATCCTTTCCAACCATTAAAATAAGTCATGTGAAATCAGAGAGGACAATATGGCTGTAGATTTGGACAGAGTCACACCACTGAAGTTATTTGAATTCAAAGATGAAGTCTTTTCATTATTCATTTTGGCTAGTCTTTTCTTCTATTTATTCTGCTTTTTTATCCCAACTTTCTCAGTTGAATCCTTTTCCAACCATTAAAAATAAGTCATGTGAAATCAGAGAGGTGACAATATATTTTGTGATTTGGACAGAGTCACACCACTGAAGTTATTTGAATTCAAAGATAAAGTCTTTCATTATTCATTTTTGGCTAGTCTTTTCTTCATCTTATTCTTTGCTTTTTATCCCAACTTTCTCGGTTGAATCCTTTCCAACCATTAAAATAAGTCATGTGAAATCAGAGTGGTGACAATATGGCTGTAGATTTGGACAGAGTCACACCACTGAAGTTATTTGAATTCAAAGATGATGTCTTTCATTATTCATTTTGGCTAATCTTTTCTTCATCTTCTTGCTTTTTATCCCAACTTCTCGGTTTGAATCCTTTCCAACCATTAAAAATAAGTCATGTGAAATCAGAGAGGACAATATGGCTGTAGATTTAATTCAAAGATGAAGTCTTTCATTATTCATTTTTGGCACACCTTCATCTGAACTTTCTCGATTGATTTTCCAACCATTAAAATAAGATGTGATCAGAGGTGACAACAATATGGCTGTAGATTTGGACAGAGTCACACCACTTTTTGAATTAAAGATTCTTTTCATTATTCATTTGGCTAATCTTTTCTTCATCTTATTCTTGCTTTTATCCCCAACTTTCTCAGTTGAATCCTTTCCAAACATTAAAATAAGTCATGTGAAATCAGAGGTGACAATATGGCTGTAGATTTGGACAGAGTCACACCACTGAAGTTATTTGAATTCAAAGATGAAGTCTTTCATTATTCATTTTTAGCTAGTCTTTTCTTCATCTTATTCTTGCTTTTATCCCAACTTTCTCCAGTCATTGAATCCTTTCCAACCATTAAATAAGTCATGTGAAATCAGAGAGGTGACAATATGGCTGTAGATTTGGACAGAGGAGTCACACCACTGAAGTTATTTGAATTCAAAGATGAAGTCTTTTCATTATTCATTTTGGCTAGTCTTTCTTCATCTTATTCTTGCTTTTTATCCCAACTTTCTCGGTTGAATCCTTTCAAACATTACAATAAGTCATGTGAAATCAGAGAGGTGGACAATATGGCTGTAGATTTGGACAGATTCACCACCGAAGTTATTTGAATTCAAAAGATGAAGTCTTTTCATTATTCATTTTTGGCTAGTCTTTTCTCATCTTATTCTTGCTTTTTTACCCAAATTTCTCGGTTGTGCTTTCCAACCATTAAAATAAAGTGAACAATATTAGATTTTGACAGAGTCACACCAAAGTTATTTGAATTCAAAGATGAAGTCTTTTCATTATTCATTTTTGGCTAGTCTTTTCTTCATCTTATTCTTGCTTTTTATCCCAACTTTCTCAATTTGAATCCTTTCCAACCATTAAAATAAGTCATGTGAAATCAGAGGAAGGGGACAATATGGCTGTAGATTTGACAGAGTCACACCACTAAGTTATTTGAATTAAAGATGAAGTCTTTTCATTATTCATTTTTGGCTAGTCTTTCTTCATCTTATTCTTGCTTTTTTATCCCAACTTTCTCAGTTGAATCCTTTTCCAACCATTAAAATAAGTCATGTGAAATCAGAGGTGGCAATATGGCTGTAGATTTGGACAGAATCACACCACTGATTCCTTGTTATTTGAATTCAAAGATGAGAGTCTTTTCATTATTCATTTTGGCTAGTCTTTTTCATCTTTTGTTCTCTTATTCTTTTTTATCCCAACTTTCTCGGTTGAATCCTTTCCAAACATTAAAATAAGTCATGTGAGGCAGGACAATATGGCTGTAGATTTGACAGAGTCACACCATGACAATATTTTTGTTAGTGGCTTTTATCCCATTTGGTTTCCGTTTTTCCAACCATTAAAAAGTCATGTAATCGTAGAAGTCAAGAATCACACCACTGAAGTTATTTGAATTCAAAGATAAAATCTTTTTCATTATTCATTTTGGCTAGTCTTTTCTTCATCTTATTCTTGCTTTTTATCCCAACTTTCTTTGGTTGAATTTTCCAACCATTAAAATAAGTCATGTGAAATCAGAGGTGACAATATGGCTGTGGATTTGGACAGAATCACACCACTAGAGTTATTTGAATTCAAAGATGAAAGTCTTTTCATTATTCATTTTGGCTAGTCTTTTCTTCATCTTATTCTTGCTTTTATCCCAACTTTCTTGGTTGAATCCTTTCCAACCATTAAAATAAGTCATGTGAAATCAGAGAGGTGGCAATATGGCTAGATGGAATTTGGACAGAATCATTATTCACCCATCTTATTCTTGTATTTCTTGGTTGAATTCCAACCATTAACAAATATAAGTCATGGAATCAGATGATAATATGGCTCTTTCATTATTCATTTTTGGCTAGTCTTTTCTTCATCTTATTCTTGCTTTTTTATCCCAATTCTTGATTGAATCCTTTCCAACCATTAAAATAAGTCATGTGAAATCGGTGGCAATATGGCTGTAATTTGGACAGAATCACACCACTGAAGTTATTTGAATTCAAAGATCTTTTCATTATTCATTTTGCCTAGTCTTTTCTTCATCTTATTCTTGCTTTTATCCCAACTTTCTTGATTGAATCCTTTCCAACCATTAAAATAAGTCATGTGAAATCAGAAAGGTGACAATATGGCTGTAGATTTGGACAGAATCACACCACTGAAGTTATTTGAATTCAAAGATGAAGTCTTTTCATTATTCATTTTTGGCTAGTCTTTTCTTCATCTTATTCTTGCTTTTTATCCCAACTTTCTCGGTTGAATCCTTTCCAACCATTAAAATAAAATAAAATAAATTGAAATCAGAGACGTGACATAAACAATGGCACTAATTCCGATTCTGTCACCGATGCAGATGAATCAAACGAAATTAGAGCAGAATTGAAATTATTGAATCGAAAAACCACATCATTCAAATAATCAGTAAAGTAACTCGAACAAAGATGTTAGAAAAAGACCGACTTCCAGAAATTAATATGACAAAGTCCAATAAACATATTGTGCAAACATATAACGCTACATTGCAAATATTGTTAACGGACAGACGACTGGAAAACATTACAGAAGTAAATAATATCATATATGCAACAGCTTTAGCAGCTACTGCATATTAAGGCCGATAAAAGATTGAACAACAGACAAAAGAGCCTCACTTGGAAGGCAAAATTAAAGTGAGATATTGAGGAAATCACGAGTGAATTCTCGATACGAGATGAGATTTCAAAAAATTAAAATATCTCCACACGGTAAAGCAAGAAAGACAAACAGAAATATAAAATTAAAGCAGGAATATAATCCCAATGTAGACTGGATTAAATGAGAATAAGAAAGAATGATGGATAAACCTGGGCAAGATTTGGAAAAATATAACCAATAATAATAATAATAATATAAAATTAAAGCAGTAAATGAAATTCTGCTAATCAAGGAAATACTTAAACAGAAATTGCATTTAAAGACACAGAGAACAAGACGATATGAAAAGCTTTATAAGTTTTATCCATAAAATAATTCCAAATGGACCTCAAGAAGTTTTATATGGAAATTGGAAAAGCAATTATATAAGTCAAAAAGCCACCATCTATGGAAGAAGTGCAAACATTTTGGAAGAATATTTGGAGCAACCCAAAGGAATATAATCCCAAAGCAGAATGGATTAAATGAAAACAAGAAAGAATGAAGGATAAACCCGTGCAAGAATGGAAAGTTATAACCAAGAATAAAGTTAGACAAGCTCTAACAAAATCCCCAAAATGGAAACCCCTCAGAAAATGACAAGTTACCCAACATTTGACTGTATCATTTGTTATCAATCCATAAAATTCTTGCACTAACTTTATCAATGCTAATTAAGAAACCCAATGAAATTCCAGAATGGATCACTGAATGCATTATATATCTCCTACTAAAAACGGATTAAATAGATGATCCGAAAATTATAGGCCAATAACATGTCTGCGTACCATATATAAATTGATCACGTCTATCCTGACGAACTGCACTTACTCTTTTCTCGATAAAATCAACATTCTTAACCTGGAATGGAAGGGACGTCGAAGAGGTTCATATGGTTGCAGAGATTAACGACTAATAAATAAAATAATCCTGGAAAATTGCAGGTAAAAAGGCAGAAATCTCAGTACAGCTTGGATAGATTACCGTAAAGCCTTTAATAGTGTGCCACACTCTTGGATCCTTAAGGATTTGGAAAATGTACAATGTCTCCTCAGTGATAGGAAATTTCCTTAAATTTAACATGAAACTGTAGAAAACCATTTTATTTCTAAATCACACCAAAGGTACTACCAATACCAATTGTTTGAATATCCGACGAGCAATCTTTCAAGGAGACACGATGTCGCCTCTTCTGTTTTGTCTGTCTTTAATCCCCCCTTTTGAATGATCTAAACAGTAATAGCTATGGATAGAAAGTAAAAAAAGAAAGTTTTTAATCACCTATTCTACAAGGGTGATATAAAACTCTTTGCCAAAGAACACAATTAGTTGAAGGTCTTCCTTAATACGGTAAAATGATTCAGTGACGATGTAGGCATGGATTTCGGATTAGATAAATAGGCAAAAGTGACATTCAAGGAAGACTGAATTAAAAAAAAATACACACTCAATAGATCGAGATTTTGTCACAAAGATTAGGCAACTGGAACAAGAAGAAGCCTTTTGGTACTTATAAATTAGCAAAGGAGATGGAATGCAGTTTACCAAAATGAAGGATAAAGTAAGAAAAGAATACTATAGGTGTGTGCTTCTGGTGTTAAAAAGCGAGTTGAATTCACAAAAAAGAATATTAGCCATAAACACTTTAGCTGTCCTTGTGGTGGAATACAGTTTCAACATCCTTAATTGGACAATAGCTGGCATTAAGCGAGTGAATGACAAAACGAGAGAGTTCCTCACTTGCCACGTCATGCGTCAGCCTAAGGCTGATGATATTGACCATCTGTATGTGTCCAGATCCGAAGGAGGCAGAGGATTAGTTCAACTAGAACTGTCTTTCAAACCCGAAACACTCGGTCCTCAATGATAGCTGGAAACGAGAGAAGACTGGATGATGATTCAAAAGGGAATTTCAAGACAGTGAAGAATTGCAAATAAACCGTAATACACCTACTGCAGTGCAAACAACAACCCAAAAAAAAAAAAGATTAAAAAAAGAAAGCAAATGCAATTTATCTGATGCTAAAACGATGGCAAGACTAGCCTCTTCATGGTCAATATTCTGCTTGCACCAAACCTATTGTAGACAAACCTCGTACCCTTCAGTATTTACATAGTACAAGATTCAGTGATGAAACCGAACGTTTTATTCTTGCTGCAGAAGACCCATGCTTGCTAACTAGAAATTACCAAACACACATATTAAAATATTGTGTAGATTCTGTGATAAACATCCAGAAACATTTGGCCATTTTTTTTCAGATTACACAGTGTTAGTAATAGGATATTTTCTCTTTCTTATTAATTATATACAAGAAAATATCTCTGTGCTGGAAATCCTTCTTTCCATAGCGTCCTGAGTATAACGATAAACTACATCCGCGTCCTGGGTATGCCGATCGACTAAATATCCGCGTCCTGGGTAAGACGATAAATTACATCCGCGTCCTGGGTAAGACAATAAACTACATCCGCGTCCTGGGTAAGACGATAAACTACATCCGCGTCCTGGGTATGCCGATAAACTACATCTGTGTCCTGGGTAAGACAATAAACTACATCCACGTCCTGGGTATGACGATAAACTACATCCGCTTTTTGGGTAAGACGATAAACTATGTCCAACAGCAAGGCCTCTGATCAGGAGGTTTTGAGGAGCGTGGAACCACCTCTTAATTGCTGGCATTCCCTGGTTCACCCTGACCCAGACTGGTAGCAACTGTTAGGGTCCCATCTATGGGCAAATAGTTAACCCCAAAACTCAGGTAAAAAGCATTATAAAAGTGTAAAAATAGGTTTTAATACCAGAAATACTTCGTAAAAAAATATTACCAGAAAAAAATTTTTAAAGAAAAAAAAATATTACCATCAATATATTTTTGAAAAAAACAAAAACTATTACCAGCAATATATTTTTGAAAAAAGCTGTTACCAGCTATACGTTTTCGAAAAGAAAAAAAAATTACCAGCAATACATGTTTTAAAATAATATTACCAGCTATACATTTTTGAGGAAAAAATATTACCAGAAATAGATTTTTGACAAAACAAAATATTACCAGAAAAAAAATGGTCGGCATTAAATAACCCATTGAGGTTGATATGCCGTAAAACAAAATAAACCAAACCAATCTAAACCAAAGAATACATACGAATCTCTCCTAAAAATTTTGTCGGCATTAAATAACCCATTGAGGTTGATATACTGTAAAACACAACAAACCAAACCAAACCAAACCTTCTTTCCATTCATCCAATTTTTTTACCACTGCAAATTTTTTGCTTGTAAATGACAACCCGTCATTTACAGGTAATAATTATGGCGACTGTTGGATCGTAACTAGAATGTATCAAATACCTTTTGGGGGGCACACGACCGAAGAGGAAGTGAGGTGGGGAGGCTGGTAGACAATGACTACCTACCTAATCTCAATCACGTCCCAGTCACTCTAACAATTGACTCACTCACCACAAGAATCCATCCTTCTCCATTGAATCCAACATTTACCACAATACCACATATTCTCCTGGATCCTACTCAAACACCCATGACATAAAAATTTCACAATGTCTAAAAATGTCTCTTCTTTACTTTTCTTCTTTTTCAATCGTAACTGGGAATGACTGCAAAGCACTTTCCCCCTCCCCAATTTATAGGCAGAACTTCACAAATTCATAATGGTTAGCCAATAATTTAGGCTGCCTCCCGGTTTCATCTGACTCAGCCCCGGTTTGTCTTGCCTTGAAGTTAGAATGCTAGGTTTGTTTATCCGAGTCCGCTCTTTTGTGTCAACACCAAATTCTCAGTCTGTGAACTTTTTGCTTTATTACTGTTGCTTTGTCTTGGAAGACATATTCTTTCTTTACTCAATTTTATTTTTTACCCTCTTCTTTTCTTTTCCTGTTATTGTTTATTGCAAACTTTGGCCATTCTGTTTCTTGGGCAGTTTTGCCATTGACATTTAATCATGGCCGCTTACTCTACCTGTCCAATATAAATACAGATCATTAAAGCCATCATTGCGGCTGAAGACGATTGCATTGCATAAACATGCAATCCAGTCATGATTGCATCTGTGGTTCATGTTTTTTTTATCAATAAATTTAGTTGTGTGTACACCATTGTGGAAATTAATTGAAACAAAGCGAATAATTTCGTTCTTATTTTTTTCGTATTTTTTCCAATGGAACATGACCCAGTGCACATGTAGGTCCATTCCACGAAGTCGTTCCTTGCAGATTGATCATAGATTCTAATTGGATTTAAATCAGGAGAGTTTCCGCGCCAGTCTATAGTACTTTAATTTGCTCACTGATAAGGCTTGCCAGTGTGTTCGTGCAGCGTTAAAATTTTTGTACGCTTCCTTGGAGTAACGTCCATCGCAGACAATGACCATAGGACAACTAATCGATAGTCGAGACAATAATGTTTGTTTTCTTAATATTTTTTTTAACCTGTTCTTTTCTTGTTATTGTTTATTACGAATTTTGTCAATTCTGTTTGTTGGGCAGTTCTGCCATTTACATTTAACCAAAGACACTTATTCTACAGCTAACATTGATTTTAGTTAAGTTAGAAGTTTTAGTTAAGTTATAAATAAACGTTGTTAATGTACGTTATTAGTTTTGAAGTAAATTTTATTTTTGAAAAAACAAAACAAAAAAAAACTGTGTATCAGGGAATGTTTTGTTCGTAATGAGGACAGGTATATGGGTGTGGGTTTGGTTGAATTCTATTATTATTATTATTAAACCAATTGATTGACATAATTTTTTCCAGTATTTTTCAACACTTAACGCGATTTAAGAAAAGAAAAAAGAAAACACGCAGTTTTTGACAATGTTAAACATTATTTCGACAGTATATCTGTCTTCAGGTGATGTTTAAAAATTGTATACAGGTATAAAAATATTTTTTAAAAATCTACAAAAAAATTATAAGTCTTTGTACAAACGTCGCTTGTCTTGAGAAAAGCGGATGTAATGGTGATCAATGCGTCAAAACGAATGAAACGCAGCTACTAAGAGGAATTAATTAAACAGTTAAGTATAAATCCTATGGAAACTCTCCTGTCATTTTCTTCATTTCCCCGGGGCGGGAAGTCGGTCGTTTGCAAATGTAACTATCCTCATGCGTTTTAAGGGTCAAAAGGTCGGTAGATTCTGAATATTTTTTTCAGAATGTACACCTTAAGATGTTCGTCGGAATTATAGTCGTTTCTCATAAAAATGTTGTTGTTGTTGTTGTTCTTGTTGTTCTTGTTCTTCTTATTATTTCCTTTGATTGCTGTTGTATACACATTTCCATCCGGGTCCCAACCAGAGACCTAAGATCAGAAATAGCTTCATGACATTTGCCACTTTGTTAAAAAGAAACAAAGCCTAAGATCATACACATTTTACACATTTTTCTTTTTTAACTGTCACAATTTTTCTGTTATATTTTTCATTCTTATAATATTTTTATTCTTTCTTTCTTTCTTTCTTTCTTTCTTTCTTTCTTTCTTTCTTAAGTGTCACAATTTTTCTGTTATATTTTTCATTCTTATCTACTTTTTTCTTTCTTTCTTTTTTTCTTTCTTTCTTTCTTAACTGTCACGTTTTTTTCTGTTATATTTTTCATTCTTATGACATTTTTCTTCTTTCTTTTTTTTTAATCATTTCGCTTAAAGTAAGGCAATAAAAGCACTAAGACGCAAGAGGTTACTGAGTGCTAGAGTACATAAAAAAATGATATACTATTAAGGAGCGAGAACAATAAGAGATTAAGAATTAAGAAGACAGAAGATGACGATTGATATTGCATTTAAATTTTTGAAGATCAATGTTGACTGGAAAGCAGGAAGCCGGAATAGAATTTCATAAGTGATGGAAGAAACTGCTAGCATAGAACTTACGGTTACATGTACAAGGAAGAAAGAAAGTTTTTCTTTTTGTATAAGCTCTTTATTTTTCTTTGTTATTTCTTTTTTTTATTTTTGCTTTAACTTCTTTTCTTTTTCTTGTTATATTTCCTTAATTCGTCTTTTTATTTTCTTTTTATTAATTTTTTGTTTCTTTCTTTGTTTCTTTTTTGTTTTTTCCCCCACATTTTCTTCATTGTTTTGACATCTTTTCTTCTCTTTTTTTTTTTTTTTTATTTATTCGATCTTTATTTCACATCTTACCTTCCATCCTTTGTTTGTTTGTTTGTTTCTTTTCAGACATTTATTCGTTTTATCTGTTCATCTTTTGTTTTTTCTTTCCTTTATAGTGTTTTTGGTGTTTCTTTCTTTTTCTTGTCTTTCTTGCTTGCTTTACATCTTTATTATTTTCGAACCCTTTATTTTTTTAATTGTCCATTTTTGTTCTTTCTTTTCCGTTTTTATCTTACGTTCTTTTCACCTTTCTTTCTTTCTTTCTTTCTTTCTTTCTTTCTTTTCAGATATTTATTCATTTTCTTTAGTCATCTTTCTTTCTTTCTTTCTACATCTTTATATCTTTGATTTCACATCTTTTCTTTCTCCTTTTTGCATCTTTTCTTTCTTGCTTGGTCGTTTACTGTAATTTCTCTAAAATAATACGCACCCATAAATAATGCGCACCCCAACAAATGATACAAAAATTAAGAAATATATCTATCCCTATGTAAAATACGCATCTATAAATTTTGTCAATTACGAAAACATTACGAAGCCATTTTGTTGACCTTGACATTAAGAATAAAATCGAAACTAAGCGGCTATAATAATGTTTTACTGCTGTTGGAAACAGGAAAAACCAGATTTTGAACTTATTGTAAAATGGCTTCCGGAATCACACAACAGCCATGGATTGCTCTGAAGATGACATCCCTTGGCAAGAGAATGAAGAGGCCGCAGATAATTTTGAACAGGACGAAGATAATATTGTGATTGATAATTTGTTTAATGACAATTTACATTCTATAATAGAAAGTGATGATGATGATGATGATGATGATGATGAAAATTAAAATTTCCAAAAATTGTTAAATGAAAATTAAAATTTCAATAAATTGTTAACTTGATATCCTCTTTTCTTTGAAATTGGCCTTTTTATAGATTTTTTATTTTTTCTTCAAATAAAAAATGCAGTTACTGATAAACAAAAATTTATTGACAAAAAATGTTACAATTATTATTGTTGGATTTAAAGTGAAAATTGGGATAATATCTTTCTTATTTTAGAACAACAATTACGTATTTATTAATATAAATCAATAAGGAAAAAATATTTTTGTTTAAACCTATGTATAATACGCACCCCTACTATCACCTGTAATTTGTAGTAAAAAATACGTATTATTTTCGAAAAATGATGGTATTTCTGTCCCATCTTATATTTCTTTCTTTCTTTTTTCTTTCTTTCTTTTTTTTTTTTTTTTCTTTCTTTCTTTCTGCATCTTTACATCTTTGATTTGACATCTTTTCTTTCTCATTTTTGCATCTTTTCCGCCTTGCTTGGTCGTTTATTTCTGTCTCTTAACCTTTTTCTTTCTTTCTTTCTTTCTTTTCTTTCCGCGCTTTTCTTTTCTCCCTCTTTCGATCCTCCAGATCTACAAATCAACAATTCGTCCTTGCATGGAGTATTGCTGCCATATATGGTCTGGAGCCCTTTCTGTTTGCCTCGGGGTTCTTGATAGGCTCCAGAGGCGGATATGCAATATAATTGGTCCTGATCTGGCATCTCGTCTACAGTCACTTTCTCACAGACGCGCCGTCGCCTCTCTCTGTCTGTTCTACAAATACTTTC